TTTTTAATTTTTATGTATTTTTTTTTAATTTTTTAATTTAAAAAAATTTTTTTTTTGTTTCTTTTAATAGTACAAGAAACAAGAAGGCTTATTCCTCTGCATTCGAAGAATTCTAGAAATCCTCTTGTGTATGATAAATTTCAAAACAAGGAGTGACACATAATCCAACATCACATTCTTTGCAAAAGTAGCGTGATTCTTTGCGAATTTTTTTCCCATCTTTTTTATTGTGGCAGCAAACAACGCATCTTCTTGTTGGATTTTGTTTTCCTTCTGAAGGCGGAACCATTTTGGGAAAATGTCTGGTAATCAATCTATCAGGAGTTATGTCTCCAGTCAAACTTCTTTCAATTCGGGGTCGTCCGATTTTTACCTTTCGAGATTGATTAACTGCATGCTTTTGTATTATTTGAGTTACAATCTGAAGCATGAAACTCACATGTTCTTGTGTTCTGTTTTGATATTTTTTGTGTAATATATACGCATTCAACAAACACTGATCAACTAAATGCTGAAATACTTTTTTGTAATACTTTTTTTGTTGAGATTTCATAATAGAATAACTTGTCATTTGTTAATCAGCTTTATCTACTCCACCCATTGTTTGGTTGTAATCGCAAACAATCGATGGCTTTAACTTTTTTGGGCCAAATTTCGGCGCAGTTTCTTGAAAAGAAACATCGTGACAAGTGCTTATCAACGATATTTGTTTTTTGTCAAACCACTTAATGACAACCATTCCCTGTTTTGCCCAGCAAACTGCTTCATTTTTTTTCAGCTTTGCTTTTCTCAACTCATTAGGCAAACCTTTTCTGTTGCACCTGAGTGTTCCATAGGCGTCTGTTTTGTTTGCTATCAATAAGTCAAATAATTCTGGAGAATTATAATAGTTGTCCATTACAAGACAATATCCTTTGTTTAGCAAATTTTCGCAAAGCTTCATTACAATCGACGTTGTTACTGAGTTATTTCCGTCATTTGTTTTTTCAGTTGTTTTGCCGGAGTAAAGAATTGTCTTTAGAATGTAACTAGACTCACTTTCACACATCATGAAAAATTTCAAACCGAATCTGGCGCGCTTTGTGGGAATAAATACCTTCCAACTAATTCTTGCTTTCAATGCCATCAAACTTTCGTCAATGCTGATATCACGTTCGGGAATGTACATTTTTTCAAAATTTTTATTTAACATATCATAAAGTTCCCAAAATTTTTTCAGTTTCGGATTAGGATGAGTTGCAGCATCGAATGTTTCATTATTTGAAAAGTGTAGAAATTTCAAAATTTCTTCGAATCGATTTAAAGTCATCAATGTATTGATAAAAGGAGTCTCGATAAGTTTCTTTTTCGACCAGTACCATCGCCGTCTGGGTTTCACAATTATGCCATGATAAATGAGAATTCCCAAAAAAACCCATAACTCGTCAACAGTTACTGGGTTCCAATCTTTTTTTTTGTTAATTGTAGCATACCGATTTGTTTCGGTGACAATTAAATTAATGACATTCTCATCAAGAAACAATTTTAAAAAATCTAGCTCGTCCCATCTTGCATCTACTTCAACCGTGATGCCAGGATTAGCCGTAAATGAAAATCTAGAAGCATTTATACGTTTGTTTGGTGGCACTTGCTTCCAATCTTTCAACAAAGGTTGGTCTTCATCTTCATCAGAAAAATCATCAAAATCGTCATTTGCTCTATCGCAAAATTCTTCCGATTCTTCAGATGATGAGTTTCCCGAATGATCGGAAAAACCATCGTCTTCGCTAGAAATGTCCGACATTGCTATAGTTGACTATCCAACTATTAGTTTGATTGTCGAAGTTAAAATTATATAATTAACAATAAAATATGTTTAACTCTAAAGTAAAACAAAGAAAGGTAAAAAAAATTCTGAACGCAGAAATGAAAAAAGAAACACAAAAAAAAGTAAACTGAGAAATATTAAATCCTGAAAAAAACGATATATATATATATACAAACCTGCAATGATTTTCACATGCGCACAGAAGTGTAGCTATACGCATATGTAATGCAAATTACAAGTTATCCCCACGTTCTTATATTTATTTTCCAAATGATGTCGCCTATCGGCAATTTTAGGTATTCACAATTCAGCGGCATTTTCAAATTCTTCTCAAGCAACAGTTGCATGAGCTCGTTAGAAATTTTAATTTTTAAAAAAGAATTGTAACTATGTCTATAAATATTATGCAGAGAATAAGTTTAAAAAAATTATTTATTTAAAATCTATTGATTTATAATAATTTATGTTCATTTATGATAAATTTAAAATCATTATGAATATACTTGTAACTAAAACAATTAATTTTTTATTAACTTTAATTAATTTATTTATTTCAAAAAATTAGTTCCTCTTAGTTTATAATAAATACTATTATGAAGAAATCCACTATAAGTATTTTAACTGAACTGAAATTTCAAATTTTAACATCAGATACATAATCTGCGACCCTGTATGTAAAAAAAGGATCTTTTCAAAATTCAACCGCCATATTAAATCCGCTATTTTGACTTTAAAAAAACTAATATCAGATTCGTAATCAGCGACCCCGAAAACCCCTAGATACTCACTTCTGTGTAACTCCAATAATTTTTTCAAATTTCGTCCGCCATATTGGATCCGCCATTTTGAATTTTGAGAAACTAATATCAAATTCGTGGTCAGCGACCCCGAAAACCCGCGAGTAACAAGTTTTAAGCGAATTTGAGCATTTAAAAAAAATGGCCGCCATATTGGATCCGTTCTCGGAGGTCCAAACTGCCTTAAATCCAATTTAGGATTTAAGTTTTTATTTATGGGTTCGTTTTCGCTAAAATGCTGATATTTTCTAGATTGAATTAGAAAATATACCGCGACTTCCTTTATTAAATTGTTATGGATAGAATAGAGGGAAAGAAAATAAATAGAAAAGAATTAGGAAAGAATCACAAATTTTATTTATCAAAAGATTGCCAAGAAATAGAAAGAAATAATCAAATTTTAACAAATGAAATTGAGTTTTAGTTCGGAAACGATACGTTGAGTACTTACCGTTCCATGTTCCTTATTCTACCGTCGGATAGTCGAGAGTTGAACACCTTCACGCTTCTTACAAACACTTTCCGACGGGCAAAACATTCAATAAAAAAAACTATTATAATTTTGTGTCCTCTCACACTCACTCAGGTGGCGCATTAGCGATTTGCCGTATGTCGTTTTCGCGTTAACTAGACAGGGACAGACAACTCCACCCTCTTACCCTAATTTGTTGACCCGTCAATTGCAAAGGCAGGCGCGGGTCCTACACGTACCCGGCTGGTCTCGCGACAAAGATAAGGAAAGCGACCTTCCCTTAAAACTTCTCCCCGAATTGATTTCAACCGGCCTCCGTGGACTTCGGAGTAAATTGGATTTTATTTTACGTCCGGCCGCAGTAATAGTATAAGCATACAATTAAAGCGGGTCCTTGGTACCGGACGGGAGCGCGTTGGTTTTTTAATTGGTGGAGGCACGGATGTTATTCCGTCTTTCACCAAAACCGTACTGAACATTGAATTATGGGCCAGAGACGCCTCGTAGGTACGCTTAGGGATGTAAAGTGGAAAATTAATGCTGAATCGTAATTTTGGAAAACAAGTGGAAATGGTAACAAAGGTATTAAATTTTGTTACTAAGCTGGTTTTTGCTAACTAAGGAAAATTGGTAAAGATAGAGGTGGTAAACAGGGGCCTGTCACGTCCCGAGCTAAGGTAGAATTTATTTATTATTTATAATAATAAAAAGGAGATAAGTTGCTGATTAATCAGGTTGGTAAAGCCTGATATTTATTTTTAATGTAGGATCGCGTCACTTCCTCAAAACTAAGGGTTTTGTGTTAAATAATTTAAGAGAGATATTCCTTTTTATGATTGACAATTTATTATAAACATTTGTTAATTATAAAAGTACTTACAATTGATGCGACGATACAGTAATGTAACAAGCTGCAACCAGGATTACAGAAGTGAGTCTCTGGATGCGTCGTAATTATTAATGATACAGTTCGCCTTTACTACACCTTCACAATTTTGAATATTACGACAATTAAGAATTGTTTAAATTCACACTAAAATGTTGTTTTAGAATTACAATGAAAATATGAACTTTTAAATAATAATAAGAAATTAAGAAGTTCACGAAATTCACGATTAACAGCAATGAGTGATAAACAATTACGAAATCGAAGGGCCGAATTTAAGACACCGTTCGGGCAGAAACTCGTCTGAACAATTGACATTTTGCAATAGAAAAACTGGGGTTTATATACTACATGATCTTTGTTCATAGGGGTAGAATTGTCACGTATAATTTGCAGACAGCGCAATTATCACGTACAATTTTCATTTAGCGCAAAAGTCACGTACATTATTTATTAATAGAATTATAATAATATCTTAATTAATTTATTAAGAATTTAGTTTATTGATTATTAATTATAAAACTATCTTTTACATTTGTTAGATTTTTATCAATAGTTATTGATTGATATTTGATTATTGATTTATATGATATTCTATTAATAATTAATATACATATATATTTTTATTATTATTATAATATAATTAATATTATAGAAGTAATGTAATAATGATTGTTTAAACAATTACGAAATTCATTAAAAATATATGGTTGCAGTTAGTTTGTAATTTCGGCATCTTATACACATACATCATTACTTGATAATAGACCGACTAACGATTAGTCATTCATATAGTCACAGTCGGTTTCTTACCGAGATTAATGTAGATAATTAACCGACTGTAATCTTTTGTCTATTAAATCTTGATCGATAATAAAATCTTTTATATACTGTAAGAGATTATACATTGATTATAATATTTAAGAATTACTTATTATTTTAATGACATATGCTTGTATTCGCATATATTAATAATTATGATATATATATAATTATTATATATATTTATTCTAACTCATATATACCAACTTTATTATAATTAAAGCTATTGTAATTTTGGTTGCCTAGTTGTAGGCGAATTTAATAATTGAAGAAAAGAATTTGTTATATCGGGATGTAACAGTCCTCCCCCCTTAGATCTTTATTGTCCTCAATAAAACATTGAAATTTAATAAATTGAATTATGTAGTTTAATTTGATTATATCTATGCTGACAAGGAAAATGACAAAAGGCAAAAATGCAGTTGCGAGCCTTTCTGCAGAAGTCAAAACAACTATTCCTTGTGTACGTGACTCTTGACACAAAATCCTCTTTTATGAGTGTCATCAAATTTTTGCAAGATGACATGCATTGGATCAACCTTTGTGTAGCGTGTCAAGACTTTTAGTATCCGTTGAGTGATGGATGATCAAAGGTCAGTTTTTAGTGAAAACACTGTGGATTATATTAATTATTGTGAAGAAAGGATGTTGCCACTCCCATTGTTAAGAGATAGGCAATTGCCACCTGGTGAGTAATTTTGAATTATTCTTCTTTTATCCTTAAGATCCTAGAATTGGTCATTGTCGCGTGTGATTTTGATTTATACTATGGAAGGCTCTTCTGGTGATATTAATACTTTACATCAGGATTCAATTAATGATTTCGATTTAAGTGTGTTTGAAAATTCAGGGAGTAATATTGATTTACAAACTGAAATTAATAAAAATTTAACTGCTGCAATATTTGGTTCTGTTGATGAATTGCGCTCTAGTGTTCCGTATGTGAATCAACAAAGATTGATCATTGAACGTTTGATAGATTTGGAAGAGAGAGCGGGTATTTTCCAATTCGCTTTCTGGAAAATCTCTTCTAATAAAGCGGTGGATGTTCTATGTAATTTGTGTAATTTAATTTTTAATAAAACTTTTTCTAAAGATGACTTTAAAATTGTGCGCGAATTAGACAGTCGTCGTCAAGGCGTGTTAGTGCGCGTTTCTTCTTTAGACTTAAAAAAAAACATTTAATCTAGTGATTCTCGTTTTAAATTATATGGATATCATGTGGATATATTTTAATTAACATCAGTTGTTTGTTCTTTGTTTTTAGTTCCCATAAGGCACCGAAGGTCGGCTCGTCCTTCTCCAAGTACTTTGGCCAGAATGTTTTTTTTAATAAATGAAATGAATCGGCTGATGCATCTTGGTGAAAGTATAAAAAATTATTTAGAGGCTCCAACTTCACACAAGGTTATCCAAAAGAAACGAGGGCGTCCTAGAAAAAGGGCTCACATTGATTCACCCTCCACATCTAGCGCAGTGGCATTTTTGAGTGCGGAAATTGAGGAGTATGATAATGTCTTAGTTTGCGCAAGGCGGCACTCAGATGAATTAAACAACATCGTCACGGAATTAATAGTTGACGAAAATACGAGACCGCTTGTTTGTAGACACATTCCTCATTCATCGATGGTTATTTGTCAAGGGTAAGTTTTATATATTGTTATTTAATTGATAATCGTAACAGTGTTGTATCAAAATACAATTTTTATTTATTTTTTTATATATATATATTATTTTTGTATGTTTCAGAATTCCAGATACCGATCATCAATTCTGCGGTTGTGGGCTGTATCTCTCTGGAGATGGAGAATGTTTATGCAGAAAAGGTCTGAATTATAGATATTCTCCTGCACTTATCAATGATGAAGATTTGGAACCTGGTCCCAGTCATATTTATGATGAAATCGATGTTGAAGAATAACCTTGTCCTTTTACTTCCTTTCCTTTGTCACTTTTCTCCCAATCAGCATATATATATACCCCTTTTTTTTACAAATAAACAATTTTTATAATACTGAAATGTTACTAGTTTTATTGATACTATTAATACTTATAAGAAAATTTTTATTTTATTCATTTATTTATTTTATTTATTTATTATTATTATTATTTTTTTTTTTTTTTTTTTTTTCTTCTATAAATTTTTAATCATTTTATAATTATTTACAATATTAAGATAAAATGGAGGATAGTTACTCCTAATATTTTATTCGTCATAAGGCGTGAACGTAATTTATCATTATGATGTAGTAGGCGTGGTTTAATCCCGCCTTATTTTAATTTTATTTTAATAGGTGATTTATATGTTTGTATATCGCATTAAAAACTAATCTATTCATATAGATTCATCTATACAACATATTAAAATTTTATTGCTTTAATTTATTAACAATTTGGTATTAGTATTGATAGTAATTTAATATTATTTTTATAATTTTCGTAATGTCTAAGTTAGCGCATGCGCACTTATACAGTTTAGTATTTTATAGTCATGACTAAATTTGTTAGATCAAAATTAATATTTACGTAATTTAATGATTATTTAAAATTGAATTTTAATTTATTATTATTCAAATTATATTATTTAACAGTTTTAATCATAACTATAATTATTAGGTTTCACTTATGATCAATAATGTGACTCCATTGGTTAGTTACAACTTAGTTCTTTATTTGACATATTCTTCATGGCGCTACGGTGTTCTGCTTCGATCGATAGTAGGGGTCGATACATAAAGTAAATGCAGGCAATGTAAAGCATGGTATATTAATTTTAGGTGTTCAGACTCTATATTATGACATAGCGTGAGACGCGTTATAGAGTGAAGTTAGTTGATAGTCGCATTAGTATGAACCTCTAAAATGTAATACTTTAAGGTTCATACACAATTGAACGCATTATTAAATTCGGTTGCTTAGATTAATTTATTCGTATTATTGATAATTATTACTTATAATTTAAAGATATATTTAATTTGTTTATTTTAATTGAATTGTAAAAATTTAATTTTTAGTAATATAATTTGGTAATAATACCAATAAATTAATCATGTTTTGTGATATTTTAGTTTGCGCAAGCGCATTATTTATAAAATTTTATTAGATAAGGTTATCCAAGTTGGGTGGGGGAAAACCAAGATGAATGCTTGCTGGTGCACAAACATCCGGTCTATCAGCCAATCGGCATTCATTCCCATGTGAAAGTACCGTGAATTTCACATGGGAGTGAATGCTGATTGGCTGATAGGCCGGATGTTTGTGCACCAGCAAGCATCCATTTTGGCTTTCCCCCACCCAACTTGAATAACCTTATTGAATTTGTTAAATTAATATAAGTTTTACATGTATTATTATTATTATTATTATAGTTTAATTTTAATTAGTTTATTTGTTTATTCTAATTTAATTAACAATTTCAATCTAAATATTACTTGTTAGATGTCATTTGGTGTTTTGAGAATGTGACTACATTCTGCAGTTTTTGTGTAGTTCCATGTTTGACATGTAGTATGTGGCGCTGCGGTATAATGTTGATCGATGGTTGCGGTCGATACGTAGTCAGGGGTGTAGTCTAGTATTCAAGTTTGATTCTAGATTCATGAATAGTTTAATGTTTATTGAAGGTGGCGCTGCAATTGTTTACATGATTTTTAGAACTTTAATGTTTTTGAAATAATTTTTTTTTTGTTGAAATTTTTAAGTCCCATCCTCTCTCCTTAAATAATTCCATTGTCCTCAATGGAAATTTTATACAGATGATGGATGGTTTGCACGTTGTCGTCTCATTGTTATGACTTTGTATAGAATATATAAGTTTTTTAATACAATTATTGCTACGAGTAGCAATAATATTTTGAATGCTATTGATATGTAGTCAACGGCGTCGGTAAAATATCCAACGAATGGAATTTCCATCTGGAATATTTCAAGTCATTATTAGTATCTTTCTTATATAATTTATTATTTTATGATTATAAAGGCATAAGTATGCATTATTTATTGTTTCTTATTTTATTTAAAATTGTTTAATTACAATTTATTGTATTTGTTAGATTTAGTTGGTAGTTTAAAATATTTATCTATGTTTTAATTCGATATGTGTATTGATCGATATATCTATATATAAATTGTAAGGCTTGGTTTACAATTTTCGTAAAATTTTTTAAATGAAGAGGAAAGAAGGCAACCTCCAAATCCTCTTCCTTTTCTTTCGTCCTCATTTAAATTTTTGTTTTGTTTATTCTTTATATGTTTTTATACAACATAATTTTTATTTATATAATATAATTCTACTTATGTGATTTATTATGTTTCTATGATTAATTAAAAACTTTTTTGTTATGTACATTAATACTTTATGTTTTTAGTTGGATTATATATTTCCTTTATAAATGATTTATTAATAAAAAGAGGAAAGAAGAAGGCAACCACCAATTCCTCTTCCTTCATTTTCTTTCGTCTTTTTATTTGTTTATTTATTTATTTATTTTTATTATTTATTGAAATTATGACATAAGTAATAATAATTCGTATAGTTATTGTTTGTTATTAAGATTACATAAATTTTATTACATTATTAAGATTATTTATTTACGAAAATTTCGCAATAGTTGCACATTTAAAGTACTGTTGATTCTGGGAGATCCCAACTATCTTCGCAACTATTATTTATTGATTTTAATAAAGGTTTTCCTGGTATTTCCCAGAATTCATCGACATTTTCTTGTTTAAATTTTGGCATTAATTTTTTATTTCTTATGGTTCCAAAGCAATTAGCTCTTAAATGGCCTCTCATAAAACACGATTCGCAACTATTACTCCATTTGAATAATTTTATTCTTAATATTGTTGGGTGGGTTAAACACATAATATAACTTAAACCGTTGGTTTCGGGATCTACTGCTTCTTCGCTAAAGTAGTAGGTTTTTTCTAAGAGCTTTAAAATTTTTCGCGCAGCCGCATGTTCAGCATCTCTGATTTTTCTTTCATTTTCTCCGATAGTTATAAATGTGTTACCATTATCTAAATCTTTTACCGTACATTTCACGTCATATCTTCTATTATTAGAAGGACCTACTACTCTTTCTACAATATATTTTGGTTTTGTTAGATTGTATTCTATTGCTAATTCTTCTAAAATTCCTTTGGGGAATTCGATCTCGTTAATGTCTCCTTTTGGGAAATTGATTTCGTTGACGACCTCTCCCTGGAGAGGTGGTGTTTGGAGTATTACTTCTGCCATCTATAATACATAAAATAATGTTATTATTTTTATTCATATGCAAGTTTTAATTTGTCTATATGTTTTTGAAACCTTTGACCTTCATTTGTAATTAAAATAGCGGTATGTTTATCTAAGATATCCACAATTTCGTAGGGTCCATGATAATAAGGGTCGAATTTATTTTTCTTTACTTCTCTTAAAACGTAGGCTTTGTCGCCTATTTTTCCTAAAAAGGGTTTTAAATTTTTGTCATAATTTTCTTTAGATTTTAATTTGGATTGAATGAGGTTTTTAGCCGCCATATTTCGTATTTCTGTTATTCTGGTTATTAATTCTAATAAATAAGATCCGTAAGTTTCTAATTTTTCTTCTGAAGGAAAAGAACTAGGGGTTCTAGCAGTTTTTCCGAAAACTAATTCAAAAGGGGTAAAATTTGTAGCCTCATGCACTGAAGTATTATATGCGAACATTGAGAAGGGTAATAATTTATCCCAATCGTCATAATTTTCTGAATATTGTTTTAAAAAGTCAACTAAAACTATGTGGCTTCTTTCTAAACTTCCATTTGTTTGTGGTCTATATCCAGATGTTGGTACTTGTTGTACTCCAAATATTTTGGATAGTTTTCTCATGAGTTTACTAATAAAACCTCCTCCTTTATCAGTTAGTATTGTCTTTGGGGCTCCATATTTCGAGTATAATTCTGTGGCTACTGCATGAGCTATGGTGGTGGTTGAAATATCTGGAATAGGTACTGCTATACAATATTTTGATAATTGATCTTGCATAGTTAATATGTGACAATTTCCATCTGGGGTTGTAGGTAGTTTTCCTACGGTATCTAATGAAACTTTGTCAAAAACATCAAGTGGTGTGTCAGTAATTAACATTGGTTCCTTAGTTTTTGCTCTTACTAATTTTAATTCTTGGCAGGTGGGGCATTTTCTTATGAATTCTGTTACTTGTTCTTTAATTCTTGGCCAAATAAACTTTTCGCGTATTCTACGATAAGTTTTCGTTACTCCTTTATGTCCTCCTATTTTACTATTGTGGTATTCTTTAATTATGGCTTCACGAATTTCTTCTTTTGGGATTGTAACTTGACCATAACATATAGTGACCTTTATGTTACTATTTTGAAAAATGGACTGTAATAATTGTAATAATTCGCCTCTTAATAATTCATTTGTTAAATCTCCTCCTTTGGATATTCTGATTTCTTTTATATTATTTCTTTGAAGAGTAATTTTTAAGCTTTGTAATGTAGTTCGAATATCGTCAATATAAAGTCGATCAAAATGATTATGTTTTACGACAAGAGAATAAATATTATAACGTCCTCTAGGAGTTATTAAGATTTGTCCCTTCTGAGGGTTTTGTAATTTTATTTCTTGTGGATCAATTGCACCGATATCGATAAGTAGACGACCGATAGGTGTGGTTATTTCGCAATCTGCAGATAGAAAATGAACATAATTATTTTTATAATATGTTAAATTTTCTCTACAACCTACAACGTTTAAATTTTCTGTGTTTATTTCTTGATTTATTATTTCTGGAAGATTAGGGGGAATACTAGAAATTGATGTTTGAATTTTTGATTTGATTATTGGCTGTTTTTCCTTAGATTTATCTTCAATTGTTTCTTCTTTATCATGGATTACACCGTAATCATCTTCTTCAGATTCTGAGAATGATTCTTCTTGGATGACTGGATAGGGAGTTGATATTGCAAGTGGTCTATTAA